CTTTTCACCTTAATTTTAGTTTTATTTTTCAGTCTGTTGTTTGTTTAGATGCAATGGTCTCAGGAGAACTGAAATCCTCACTCATCAGCCTTTTATTGTTTGTGCTGAGGAAACCAGCCCTTGTTAGTGGTGCAAACCTCCAGAGGCGTGTGCTTTTCATGCTGTTTTTCAACACGGAGAACCAGTCTGTGTGACTTACTGTCCTTTTGAAGGCTCTGTCAGTGTGAGGGAGACTGGTGAACTGGGACAAGCCACTTTTCTGCTTCAGACACCACTTCCTACTTGCAGTGAGTTGCCACAGGTTTCCACTTTGCTGCAGCAGCGGCAGGTTGCTCACCACTGTGTGAGGACTGCACTCTGCTCTTGAAACATCTTGATTTTATTCACATGACTATTTTTCATACCCTTCTCTCACTCTGCCCCCAGACCTACGTGGTCTTTCGATTGCTGGAGGAGTTACTGTGCCACGTGCTCCCCTTTGCCTACATGCAGCATCACAGCTGTGGTGCTGCTCAGGGGTAGTGGGTCCTCAGGCTGCACTGGTCACCAAGGAGCTGGGAAAGCAGATCTGTCCCTTTCTCAGCCATCCAGGGGTGCCAGCACTGTCGGTGCAAGGTGCTGGGAGAGCCTTGGTAGTGCCATTGGCCTTTGTTAGCACTTGTCACAGAGCAGAGCTGTGAGGGGTCTGTGCATTGCCTTTCCTGAGACAGAACAAATATGTCTCAGCTTTCTGGCATTGATTTTTGACAAAGGATTCAAGAAACTGCAGCTGTGCTGGCTTTCTTGTACCCTCCCCCACTTTATTACAATGTGTGTTGTTCTGAAATACTCAATTCAGCTATAAACAATCTACTCTATCAACAACATGCTTTTGCACTTTTTGAAATGGTGCTTTGAGGCAGATAAATGAAAGTAAGTATGGCAGCTTGCCAGTAAAAATCCTGCAAACTGTATCATCACAGGGGCACTGACTAAGACAGCACATTATTTTATTTACTGTGGAAACTGAAAATCCATTTCTGCCCATACAATAGCTGTTTATTTCATCTTTGCTTCATGTTTGTTCTAATCTTTCTTGACACTTCTAGATAGTAATGGTTCACAAGCTGTTCAGATCAGTGCTTGCAGGGCTCCATCAGCCAGCACTTCCTTCTGGGTTTAGAAGGCCAGCACTCTCTTTGCTGGTGTGTGCCCACTGGCCAACAGCAAGGGAACCTGCCCAAGCCCTGGACACAGGCAAAGTACTGGGGAGGTCCTACAACTCCCTGAATGCATCCCCTGGATTAAACTAGCAGACTCATCTCTACCAGCCAAAGTGTACAGGGAAGCTTGTACTGCAAATGCATTACAGTGGGCTGACCTGGACAAAGGAGTTCCTCGGGATTTGAGTTTTCCTTTCTGAGCATTCAGTCTGTCAGATGTTTATGTTGCCAGCTGTCTAAATGACATCACACTATCCATACTGGACAAAATGATTCTGAGATGCAGAAAGATGAGGTGACAGGGTGGCCACAGCACACTCCTGCTAAAACCTGCTGGATTCAGATTAGCCTGGGTGATTTCTTAATCTGGGCAATGTGTCCTCTGACAGTGTGATGCCACGTTCCCCAGCTCCTGCTTGGGTAGAGCGGCTCCTCCGGCACCGCTCATCACAATGGCTTGGAGATGGGAGAAAACCAGGCTGGGGAAGAATGTTGAAACCATTTCAAAAACCTCTGGAGAGAAAATGAGTAATATTTTGTTTTACTGAATGGTTTTACTGAAATTTAGGGAAAATAATTGCAGTTGAAAGATCTCAGTTTTTGTTGTTCTATTCTTTCTTTTCTATTTGTTTTCACACACTTCCTATTGAATGTACTTCCTCCTTTCCATCTCCACCCTCTCCTTTGTTACCCTTTATCCCATACCCCATTAAAGAAAGGTGCAGAGAGAGCAGAAGGGAAATAAAATATATAATAAAGAAAAGATAAAAAACATTTCAAATTCCTTTTCCAGATCCAGAGAAAACAGGTTTTATTAACTTTCAGATCTTAATGACAGTATTCTGTGATCAAAAATCAGCTGAAAAATATTCTAAGGAGCTGCAATTTAGCTTATATGTGGTTACCTATCTACTTCTGGGGAATTCTATTTTATGCTTTTAGCCAAAGGATCTACCAAATTAATTTTGCCCCGGGAATTTCTCCCCTGAGATATCCCTTATAGCCCATCATGCTGAATTATAGGAAACTCTTGAACAGCCTTTTTCTGTTGTGTGTTCAATTTATCCAGAGCACAGTCTCTTTCTATGTCCTCTTTTTGTCTTTGAGGGTGTTTGTTAAGGTGTAATGGAGTTTCATGCATGATTTTATTTCAGTCCTGGTTACTTAAGAGAAAGCACTTGTATGGAAAGATAGCATTAGAGGTCAAATGGTAGCCAAAGCATCTCTGTATCCTGAAGCAGGGGAAACACAGAACTTCACAATACCTAGAAATTCTACTGAGTAAACAAAACAAACCTCTTTTAAAGCTACTGCCTCTGGCCCAGAAACAGAAGCGCTTTGATGCTTATGGTAGAGCTGAGAATCACAAGCAGAGAGGCTGGTAACAGTCCTGTTGTGCCCCTGGGGCAGTGCTAATGAGGATTTGGCAGTGGAAAGGCAAAAAAAGCTGTGTATGGCATGAGATGAGGTTGCTGGGCTGGAGGAAGGCAGCCTCTGGCAGAAGAGGGATGGCTAAGAATGAATTAATAAAAATTACAGTTTGGGGAAAGGTGTCCCTTTACAACTGCAGATTTGGCCCTGCTTTTACATGTTTCTTCTAAGTTCCAAGCAAAAAAGGCTAACACAATTTGCTGTTTGAGAATAACCTGCAAGCTGAACATGCAGGATTGATAAGCATTTTCAAATGGTTCCAGGCAGATAGGTAGGTGGTGTTCTTCGTTCTGCCAAATTCAGAATATACCCAAGTGCCTGCATTTCTGTCTGGTTTATCTTACCTTGAATCAATTCCAAATAAACGAGAACTGACAATTACACACATGCACTGTTACACTTCAGACCCACAGGTGTACTTGCAAATCAGCCTAGGGGACTGAAATACGTGTCTTTGATTAATTTTAGTGGTAAAATGTCCAAATCCCTTACTCAGTCTTGCAGTGCTCACATGCAAGTATCAGCCATACTCCTTATTTTTGGCTCTTCATATTTTTATCTGCAGATAAACACAGTCTTAACCCTTGGAACTCTGTACTGCTCAAACCCCAGGGCAGACAAGATTGTTTTTGTAAGATTTGCCCTAATAGCCCACGGTCTAGTCATTACATGAGTTTATTTCTCAAATGGCTGGTAATGTTTGACCACTGCAGGGCTGGGGCAAAGCTATTGTGTGCACACAACTGTTGTGACAGCAAATAGAAAATAATGACATTAAAGTGTCTTGGTGAGTACAGCTTCTTTCCCACCAGGGCACTTAGTGCCATAGCCTACTTGGCATGGTGGTGTTTCATCAAAGATTGGACTTGATCTTGGAGGTCTTTTCCAACCTTACTGATGCTATGATTCTATGCCAGGCAAAGAGCAGCTTGCAAGAAGTCATCATCTTTGGAGCAGTTCCTGTCTAGACGAGGTTCATGTTGCTCTGGCATGAGAACGGTTGTTTGCCACCTGTGTGATGCACAAGTGTGTTCAGAGCTGGAAGGAAGCAGACAGGAGGGGCTAGGAAAAAAGCTTTAAGGAAATCCCACCAAAAATTCCTCAGGCCAGGAATGCCTTTGCTTGTTTTCTTACTGAAAAGCAAATGTTTTAGAAGATCTTTCTTCTGGCCTCATATATCAAACATGACCACATTTTATCCTCTCAAGTACTGACAGGATTTCCAGCTCTTTACAGAGGCTCAGAGAACTTCCACAGCAATGTGATCCTTAAAGAGACAAAAAAAGTAGTAAAAAAGCTGTGGACGTTGTAAGATGTCAGTGTGAGCAGCAAATCAATGTCACCTCTGCCCTTGCAGAGGATTCTGTGTCCTTTTGATCAGAGCTGGTGAATGGCTACTGCCCTCTTCCTGCATTCAAATGTGCAGCAAACCACTGTTAGATATTCCCATAATGAAATGTCTGAGACTTTTGTTTGCTTTCCATTTTCCTATTGCTTGTTTCTTGTCCAGAATGTCCTATGCCTTATTAATCAGAATTAGCTCTGCCAAACTACATACCCTCTGTCTCAGCTCCTGTACACTGTGACAAATGTCACTGCATAGCAATCTCTGGTGTGGCTGTCCTGATGCAGGTGGAGGGACTCTCTCAGAGCTCCCTTCTACCCATTGCCCCTCAGGAGGGATTCAAACCCTCACTGGTGCCAGTTCTACCCTGAAACCTGCCAGTGCTGATTAATGAGGGTAGTGAGGCCTTGATATGGGCAGGGAGGAGAGGCAGAGCAGTCCTTTGCATTGTGTGCTCCATGGAAACCTCCCTCTGCTCAGCCAGCCCAGAAGTCCAGAGGGCACTCCTGCCCTGCCCTGAGCTACCTGCACATACCCTGGGGGAAAGTGCTCGTGCTCCCTGTCAGCCAGGAGGTGCCTGCTTGCTCCACCTGTTTGTGAGACCTTACCCCTGTAAAAGAGGCATTTGGCCTTACAGGTGTGTCCAAGGCTTGGGACCACAGCTGCTGGTTTACCACATAGACAGGCTCTTAGGAGAGGAATCACCCACACTGGGGCCATGGAAGGGGTGTGCTCTGAGTGACCTTGGATCCAAAAGAGGTCATCTGATGTCCCTTCAAGGGAATAATGGTTCTAGTTAATAGAGATCAGGGACACAGGAAGACGTTTTCTTGGTAAAGCAATGTCAATTTAACCCATCTGGCCCCTCTTCCTCTGAAGAGTGACTGCTCCCTCATCCTGCAGTGGGAATTTGCTTCTAAACAGAACCAAAACAAAGTTGGATTTTCCATGCAACAGATACCAAATGTAACCGCTGGGGGAGAAAGCAGGTGGAGAGATTAGACATGCCTGGTGCTGACAGATAGCATGTTTGTGCCTAATACGTTGGAGAAATTGTTCAGAAACAATTCAGCCATGTGAAAATATGTCCCTTGTAATATTGCCAAGGTCAGAAAAACCTAAGGAGATCCGCTGAGTAAGTGCTGGTCCTGCAAGGAAAAACCATCTAGAGGCAGTGTGGTCGTATTGCTGAGGCAATTTTCCATCAGGGTCCTGTAGGGGCAGAGAGAGGAGCTCCTGCTGCGTTTCTCTATTCTTTTTGTTCAAAATGAAAAGTCCTGTATCAAGGTCCTGTATCAAAACTTTCAAGCCCACTTGGCTATTGGCTTTTTAATCACTTTCAGTCAAATCTAAAAACCCATAGTGATCCAGAGAGGTTCATGAAGTGGGAGGGAGTTTAGTCTCCTAAACTAAGAGAGTCCTCTTTCCATGCTGTCTTCTTTTCCTTTTGCTCTCTTCTGAAACTAATGAGGTTTAATAACCTGTTTCATTCTTTCTCATCTAGGCCAGCTTGGGGAAGAGAGGGAACATGGCTCTTCCTACCTGTTGACATGTCCCTGCCTGGAAAGTCCATCTGCAAACATGTAAGACGTGTGTGAGCCTTTTGGGGCAACCCTGGGGTGTACCAGGTGCAGAGGAAACAGCAGATGCTTTTATAGAAAAATGACATACAGGCAGGAATATATCTCCTCTGGAGTCCTCTCTTTCACTTCCCTAGAGATCTAATGAAAAAGGCCAGCCCAATATCTGCTTGGAGAATTAGGCTGAAGGGAAGTAATAACCAGATGGTCTTTCCAAGAAACTAAGAAATGCCATGGGTCATATCTCTGTAATGTCCTGGCTGTGCACAGACAGCCAACAGGCCTTAGCTTTGTAAGCAGGGAGGAATGGAAGAGGCAAATAGTTTGGGGTTGGTGCAGACAATTTTTACTCCGCACTCTGTCACTCTCTCAGTAACGTCCAAGGAGATGTTTGTAGGGAAGGCAGCTCTGGAGATTGTCTAGGGCTATGTGAAAGAGGGGGAAAAAAAGATGAACTGGCAAAAAGTTAATTAAAACTCTTCTGATTATGAGGTGGAATTTAATACTTTAAAAAATGCGGTGTGACACATTGCAGCACTGCAGCTGAATTAATCATGAATGAGGATAGTAATTTTTAATTTTTGTGTGCATGAGAAAAACACTCAACAGATTTGACAATTAGAGCAGGGTAACAGCATTGCATGGCACAATGTGAAGTAGTTTTTCCCAGTGGTTTTTGAGAGGGAGCTAAACAGATGTGCTCAAATATTTACAAGTGCACAATATTCACATGCTTTTCAAATGCTGACCCTGCTGATTCGCAAAAGTCTGCTTCAATCTGGAGACCAACTACTGTGGTGACACAGGCTATTTATCATAGGTAACACAGCGGCACTACCGCCAGCTCCCCGTGAACTTGTGTGCACAGTTATCTCCTACTCTTCTGACACTGATACACCACCTCAGCAACTCACCTGCATCACCAATTTGTCCCAACACAGTCCTGACAGCACACTGGGCCCTGCTGGCTCAGCCCCAGTCTGTGGGGTAGGAGTGGTTCCTGCATCACACCGCGACAAAGAGAAACAGGTTTGACTCCAGCCACAGCCATAAAACTCAGGGTAGTTCAGCTGAAGTGTCACAAGGGCAAAGCACTCCTGTAAGAGTCTAATATTACATGTTTACTCTGTGTAATTCAGCAGGGCTAGCCATCAATTATCTGCATCAAAGTGACCACCCAGATGCCCAGTGTATTTGGCCTCGTCCGTCACTTAGCTGTCCCCTGTCATGCTTCAGTTAAGAGCTGAGAATGCCAGTTAACATCACCCATAGCAGCAGCAGTGCAAGATGTTTCATTGCCTTGTTTTCTTCAAAAGGAACCCAAAGAAAAGTCAGGTTTGTTCAGCACAAGCTGTAGCTGGGGAGGATTCAGGTAAGCCAGATGGCAGTGTCAGTGATGAATGGCACAGATACTGTAGGGCTATGCCTGCATATCCTAACTGGAAAAGCTGAGCTGCACTGTACCTCACTGAAATAGTGACTATTGCAGCAGTTGCTCTACACTGTTCAATTGGCTGTGTAATTACTTTCACAAATTAAACAAAAACAATGGTGAAAATATGTAAAATGTCACCTGGACTGAATTGTGGTTCAGATCCCAAGTGAAAATTAGTTTGGCAGCCTCCCCTCACATTCTAATCTGCTCAGTTTCAGCCTGAACGCCTCTCTACTCTCAAGCCCAGATTGGTGTTGCAGGTCAGGCTTTAGATGTGGTGTGGGTGCTGCTGTGTGAGAAGCCCTACTTATCTGGCTCAAACCAGGATAATTAGTGCCCCATTTTTTTCACGTCATCCCACTCATTCCATGCTTTGTATACTTTTTGTGATTTTTGTACTTTTTGTAGGTTTGTTGTGCCTGCTCTTCTGAGTTTTTGTACTGTGAAAAGCAAACATGCAGTGATGCACTTCTCTCATCAGCTCACATTTATTTTCCTTTAGCATTTATCCCTGCAAGTGTGATGACTGCTCACTTAGTGAAGACAGACCAGGGTATGAGGAGGGGACAGATCGTCCACTTGCAGTTTTAGAAGTCAACAGGTCTCATCCATGATGACTTCTCTTCATTAAACTCAGGGTCACAGCAGGAAGTCAGACAAGCTGAACAACCTGCCCAGCTCTTTCCTCTCTCTCCATGGTCCCCCATGCTCCTCAAACAGCAGTTAGTGGGGGATAAGCTGACTGGGGCTCTACTCATTCCAAGGCGTTTCAGGAAATCTGGCACATCTTTCTTTCACTGCACTCTTGGCGGGACTGCACTTTGCTCTACTTTCCTTTTCTCCTTTTCCCGTGTGAATTAGTTACTGATGCAGCAGCCTGTGTTTAGGAGCTATGAGCAGCTGCTGCACCTGAAAAAATGCACCAAGAGACACTGCAGACAGTAACTGCAACCGCTGTGATGAATCTCATGGGTTTGCAGGAACAGAGGTTGATTCACCCGCTCTTGTGCGGGGAGACTAGTAAACTCTGGACTCTTGAGTCCCCATGAAAAATATTATTCTCATATTGCCTCAACAGTGTGTGTGAAGAGCTCTACCCAGTGTTAGCCACTGCCTGGTCCTAGAGCCACTGAATGGCTCGGTTTTCTCCTCTTCTATCAATTTAGATTTGAGACCTTTTATAAAGTAACAAATGAAGCATGGCTGTTTCAGACACACTCTTAAAAGCCAATATGCCTTAAATGCCAGTTACTATGTATCCTGAAAAGAATGGGCAGTTGTGAGTTAGCTGTCTTGGTTTTGGTTGACAGTGCTTCATGCAGAAAATGACCTCTCTGGATTCATCCTGAGGAGCAGACTAACCCAGATACCTATAGTACAAAATTCACTCTTGGTGAAATGGGGAAGTTTATGTACCAGTGAGAATCTGGATTGCCACAGCTGGATTCACCATCAGGCAGTCACAGAGAAACAGTGTGTTCTGTCAGGAAGGCTGGAGGAGCCCAGGCTTCTCATCAGATAGATGTGTAGTGCCTTTTAATACTTTTTAATAGTTTACAAAATTATGATAAGCTCTGCAAGGCCATTTAAAATGGATAATCTTCAAGTGGTATTAAGGACTAAAATGGGTCTGCCTTGTATGCCTTAATGGGCCCCTCACAGACTGTTCAACATTATCAAAAGGTGATTTTAAGAGTTTGTAATAAATATGTTCCTTTGGGGAAGATTAGGAAACAGGGTGGGATTTGCCATCCTTCTGCTACCTCCAAATTGCTGTGCTTTAACTGAATTAATTACAGTGGGTCTGCCTTGAACTCTGGAGTGCCAGTTCACTTCTGATCTATTGCTTAGTAAAGAGGCTTGTCCTTAGGGGAAATGTTTGTTCCAAAAGCCAGGGCTATTTAGTATTTGATTATCAGCCTAGGAGAAATTAGTTAAATAAGGCTCCAGCTTTGTGAACACTTATGTGCATGTTTAACCTTCCATTCCTGAGGAGTCCTTTAGATTTCAAAGTGCAATAAAATAAAGTGTGTCTGCAGAATTCTTATGGGGACCAGGGACCATGAGAGTTATTTATTCACAAACCAGAAGTGAATGACTTCATTCATGAAGTTTTCCTTGTGCAAGCTGTGCTTATCCTTTTCTAGTGTCCTACCTTGTCTTTGTTGCAAACCCAGTCTTTGTCCACACCACTTTCAAGGGCTGGGCCTGAAATGGCAGGGAGATTTGAGTGTATGAGTGAAACTGGATAAAATTACAGACATTGTCCTCTCTAAGCATTAATTTGTCATTTCACTCTTTCCTGACAAAGTTCATGTTCTTGGGCAACCAAGTTGTATCACCAGAGTGGTACAAAATCCACAAGAATAATCCTTCCCTGTCAGCCTTCTGGGGTTTCTCTTTGCATATCGACTCCCTTGTACATCAGTTAAAGGATTTAAAGTACAATTATCAAACTTGCCAATTTCATAAAATGTTGAAAGTTGAACAATTTCTTGTGGAGCACATCAGAAAACTTCTCATAACACCTACAGTCAATTTCTTGCCAGCAATGTGCTTCCTGCTGTTTTTGTCTGCCTAAAATGAACACACTAGAATTTATTGATTTGTTGAAATCAATACATTTAGGAGGTTTAGGAGGAAAATGTGGTTTCTTGTGGTTTTACCAAATCTATTTGATGTTTGCCATTCTTGAAGCAGGCTTTTACTCTTTTGGCTCCCCAGCCTGCTAAGCTTTGTGCTTTGAAGTCAGCATTCCCAGAGCTTCCATACTGACTAATTTCCCGTTATTCTTCTTGCTGAGATACTGAGAAACCTTAAAAACTGTTTAAGGTCCATGTTTTCATGGACCTTGAGTGTGATTTGGAGGCCTCTGATCAGTCAGAGATTTCAAAAAACACAATACTTTTTATATATCACCAAAGGATTCTGTATAAATGCAAGCTTCCCACAGTGATGTGTTGTGTGCACCCAGAGAACTCCATACTTAGCTCCAGCCATCTTTCTTGACTGACAGGTTATTTTAAGTTATTGTCACCCAAACAGATCTTGTGCACAGGATATGATTTTTTTTTAATTTACTTAGCCATATGATTGCAAAATATCAACATGCAATGCAAGAGTAAAAAAGTGTTAATACAGTAATTTGTATTAACCCCTCAATATGATGATACGAGAAAATTGTCATCTGTATATTGAACTCACATTGAATTAAGCCAAAATACATCATAAATAAAGTTTAGGGGCTTGAAAATGTATTGAATTGGTCTGGTGATGGTTCATTTCAATGAATAATTGAGGGAAGGGCAAAGCTGGGGTTCCTGGGGCTGGAAACCTGCTAACCCTGTGCCATGGTCAATTGGTGTTGTCAGTTCACATGGCAAGAGGAGCACATAATCAGGCTGGGCAACCCCCTTGTTCCAAGTGTGGCTGCATTTGCTCTTTTTATTATGACTGCTTCCAAGCATGTAGTTCCAGTTTAACTGAGCCTAAAGATACACACTTCCTAAATTTCAGATTGTACACTTTGAGTTGGTGATCAGTGCTTAAACTCTGTTTAGGGGTTAAACTCTGACTCAAGAAACTGAAGTGGGCAAATGCTCCTATTACCTTCTGTATTTCACACCCTTAATCCTATTTTTAGGCATCCTGGTGAATCAGACCTCCTAAGGAAAATGCTAAAGAATATATTTCACTTGGAGCATACAAATAATCCTATGCCAATATTTGAAGGCCAGGGCTTTTTAGATCCAAGAATCTGCTGGATAACTCTAATGAGATATGTACTGCTTTACTTTTACCCTACAGGACAGTGGTATTCACATATTTTTGCCTGCAAGACCATGCTGGGTGACTGAAAGCATGTGTGGAATCTGGAACATTTATGGTGCAAACATCATTTCAGCATTCTCCTACGCAAGAGATGATGAAACTTCCAAAGATGAGAGCCTATGTAAATATGTGTTATCCATCAGCTAGGCAAACAGATGATGGACTGCTGTTTTTAGAAGCTCCAGATGATGGCCATGATCCTGTAATGTGATTATTGTGAACAGAGACATACATCTGCAACCCAATTCTTGCTCTGCAGATCCATTGAATATAAAAAAGAATATCCAGAATATGAAAAAGACTACCCTCCATAAATTCCAGTGTCATCTTCTCTCTTCTTATTAATGCTTAATTTAAATCTTGACATCTAACTCTTCTTCAGCATTCACGATTAGAGAAATTAATTTAAGTTTCTTCTGAAAGCATATCAGCAAATGAGCATCAATGCAGGTATCTATTTATTCCTTCAGCAGTGAAGTTAAACATTTTGTGCTTTTAACTGCATGGTACAAAATAAAGCTATTTGCTTGAGTTATTAATCCAGGATAACCTGATATAATGTGATAGTAAAAATTCTTTTCCCAAAGAAGAAAAATACATGCTCTACTCAGTATCTCCTGGTGACTCTGCTCCAAGTGAATAAATATACAGCTGAATTCTCCCAGCCAGGTGTGATCCAGGAACAAACTGGCAGCACATCTTTGTGTTTGCTAATGCAAATTCTAACTCACAGAAGTGGCCCATCATTAATTCTTCAGTTAAAAATGTTTTCTCTGTCTTCTCAAGAATAATATTCTACAGAACATGTCACAAGCTCAGAAAAATCACCTTAATTCTCTAAAGAATGAGGCACATGTCTTGCACTGATGTACAATGAAGTATCACATGCAAGACTGGTGTTTCAGGACTCAGCCACTATAGATTAAATGGAAGCAAAAAAGGGAACTCTTGTTTGAAATAGACAATAAATATTCTTAAAGACAATTTACAAAGACTAATGTCTACAGAAGTAATCCGAATTAGAAGAGTTTAGCTCATCTGAAATAATCTGTTTCGCACAACTTGGGGACACATTCCCTCAGCCTGCAACTCCTAAACTCTCCAGCAGGTCACCCTAGGAACATTGCATACTGAATTTGAATATTGTCCCATTCTTCTGTAACCCACGTATAGCTCTCTGTCTTTTTCTCAACTCAGGAAGAACATGAAACACAATTTAACCTATCTCAAAACCTCAATTTATTCTACACAGAGAACATTAGTTCCTGACTTTAAAATGCACGTTTCCATTTTAATAAGTCAGCTTTGTCTTGGTATAGTAATAAGGAAAAAGAGGGTTAAGAAAATATGTGGTCATATTCCTAAAGCTAAGAGAAGCTGGGTAATAGGTACCAATATATGAAAAGTCTTTCACAGGACTCAACTTGAACAGAAAGAGTAAAGCACAAGAAACCTCATGGTTAATCGTTGTAATGGAATACTGATAGTTGCCATTGGCTGAAAAAGAATTCAGACATTTCAGAGCCCTTGATGCACTTTGATCCTTTGGATGTTAAGTTCTGAAGCAGTGCTGAGTTTGGCAAACTGATGGCAAAAACCCATTCTTTTTCGAATGCTACTTTAGCTACTAGCTTTTCATTCAAGAAAGGATTTTGTTGACAGCAAAATTATTTTCTTAAAAAAAACACTAAACAAGAAGATGACAAATGCTGTTGTGAATATTCACACAACTCCAGGAACAATCAACCATGATTATTCAGGCAGGGCTCCTGCAGGAATGGATAGAGCTAAAATCTTGAAATTTGGCAAGAACAAAGTCCTCAATAAGGAGCAGCACTTACAGTTGCTCTGGAGAAAATCTAGTTTCATCAGCGGGATTCATGCTCATTTGGAATTGACCATGTGCAGTAGAACATCTTGTCTGTATGTATGCAATTAAGAGATGCACAGTGAATAGTTGCCATGCAGTTAGTATAACATATGCTCCAGTACTTCCAGACGTGACTACTGAAGTTGGTAGCAAAATCCTGATGTCTTCAACAAGGCCTCAATTTTAGTCAGATAAAAACTGCTACGTGTGAAAGCAGCTGGGGATCTTTCTCTTCACTGAAAAAGTGTGAGAAAGAGAAGAGGAATCCATACTGAGGAACTGACTGAAAGGCTGGAGAGACTACAAGCACTGGCTTGTAGAATTCAGGAGATAGAATGATATTGCTGCCCAGTCTGTGACCTGCTGTTTGCCTTCTGGCAGATGCTTTTATATTTCTTGCACTTTGCCTGATGCATCTCAATAAGAAATCCTCAGCCTGACCCCTACTTAAAGGCATCAGGGCATTTCTCCCTAGTCTCCAGAAGCATTGAAGTAATGTGCTTAACATTTAGATCCCAGGGCCATATGTACTATAGTGCCTGGAAGAAAAAAGGCTGGATCACTCACTAGACTGCTGTCACAGCATCTTGGTCTCATGGACTGAAGCTTACTTGGTGGCCTGTGCGACACAGGACAGTAAGAGGCTGCACACCAGAGAGGCAGTGATCTGAGGAGAAGCAGTCTTAGTCCTAAGACCAGTTGTGGACCTGAAGCCTCCTTCAGTCTATTGTGCCAAAATCCAGGACTGAATTCTGCAAATCACATGTATTTCCCCGGTGACCTACCCTGAATGCTGGCTCCAAACAACCCCCACTGGATCTGTGTGTGGTTCTCCACTTGAACTGGCTAATGTGAACACATCTCTCATCATGACAAGCCCAGAAGGTGATGCACAGGTTCATTTGGTGCTCCAGTTTGTCATCAACTCTCCAGCTCCTCAGATAACATGACTGTGCTGAAGCTTTAGACAAGGCAAACAATTTCAGGCAAGATAAGAACAGACAAGGTTTTTACCCAACCAGAATTTATTTATGTGAGGCTTCTAAAAGTTCAGTAGTTTTAACTCCACTGCTGTGTGCTTCACTGCTGTTTTCTGGAATCAGGAGAGGAAGTAACAAATTAGCACAAGGGAAAGCATTCTTGCAGCAACATCCTGGTGGGGAAAAAAGTCATGAACTCCTGGAATTCCACCCAAAAACATTCCTCTGATCTTCCAGGATTTTTTAATCTCTGTTCCAGATCCCAGGGGTCTATAATGCAATAAGTTTTGGATAGGTCTTCCCAACTCTGATGTCAAATTTGAATTGGGATTTTTGATATTCTCTCCTGTGTAGTTTTCTTTTTCTAAGTTCAGGCATTGGAACATTTTCCTTCTTGCTTTGAGCTCTTCTTTGGGTCTACTACTTCTAGCGAAACTTAATGAGTTGGGGCTATGGTGGGGACATAGGCTGGACACCAGCTGGACACCATACTCAGAAAAGCCTGCTGTGGCCAGGATCTCTGTGAACCTCAGAGGGTGCTGCCCCACTGGCTCCACAGGTCTTTCCTTTTCCTCCATGAATGCCATCCAAGAAAGTGTGCACCAGCTCTTTAACTCCACCTTTAACTTCAGGAGCAAATTGCCTCCCCTGGCACCAGAGCCAGATTCTGCAGAACTAATTTGAACATCTGAATTTGTAAGTGCAAAGGTAACATTGTTTAAAAGCAGGTCAGATTCTGTTCAATCACAATAGCCAGCAGGTAGTTCAAGAGTGAATCCTCAGTCTTGGCCATGGATTTGTGTGTGTCATGAAAGTGAATGTAAACACACTACGCACCCCCCACCACTCCAAGGAATATTATGGGGAACAGTGGCTGGCTTCTTCTCCACACAGCAGAGACATCCTTGCAAGGTCATGGACAGCATTCCAGCTCATCAGTGCTGCAGATAAACATAATTCCTTCCCAAAGAGCGTACGGAAACAGCTGTTCTGCATTACGGTATATTGCAAATGTTTTCTTGTCTCATCAGAGGCAGTTGTTCTTGGATAACGCAAAGAAACACCCTGTACCTGCACTGAGCTACGATGCTTGGAGAGGAAGCAGGAGCTGAGGAAAGGCAGTGATTTGCCAAGTTCATTCGTTTGCATCTGACATTTATGAAGATGCTTTTGTGAATTAAGTGGAGGGGGAAAAGTCAGGTGTTTAATGACCAAACTTCTGAGGCAGGCAACATGTCAAATACTTCTCCAATGGTCTTACAGTAACTTATTTCGCTTTCCTTGCATCAAAATATTGGCAGGCCTCAACCTCACGAGGTTCAGAATCTGGGGTGCAGGAAGGGTCTGTGGGGAGCGCACCAACAACAGGGTCAGAGATAAGGAGCATCTCGTGAGGGGGAGGTAACACAGGGGCTGCGACACCATGGAAAACCGGCCCTGCCAGCACATGGAAAGGGAACAGGACAGGCCTGAGAACCCAGCTGGGCAGGTACAGAGGTGGCGTCAGCCAGGGCCCTGACTGGAGCACCAGAGGTGGACTGGGACATGTGGGGCCATTGCTTGCTCTGCAGTAACCTGTAAAGCAGACAGCTCTACGTTTCTCATGGTCAAAAGCACAGACACAAGGCGAGCCACGCTGCGCACGCCTGCTGAGGAGGCTGCACACCAGGCCCTGTGGGGCCTCCTGGCAGGAGAACATGCAGAAAAAAATATGTTCTAGTACTGTCCTTGTCCTTTCTTTAGTTGTAAAGCCACCAGGAGAGAGTTTGTTTATCATCCTAGGTTTGCGTGTGTGAATTGAGTGCAGACTCGCTATTTAAAAGCCCCCACAGTGGGCAATCTTTCAAAGGCCCCATTAAAACCATAAGTTTGTCTTGTTGGGACAGCTGACAATTGATGAAAATGTTTCAGAACAGACAGAACCCACAGAAATACATTACTCAGTTCCTTCGAACTGAAGGCAGCCATCCACCCCCCACCCCACCCCCCCAAAATGTTTCTGTTAAGATACTGTTTACACGGATTTAATCAGTTGTGTCACTGGGGCACAGCAAAAACAGCAATGTGACTTGCTGAGATTTAGCACCAGATTGCGATTTACAATCAAGGCACCAAGAGTCACTGAAGTGCATAGCTCCTGCCCCAACTACTAATTAATCAGACCCAAAGAGGTCTCTGTAAAAGGCATAGCAGTCAGCTGTGAGCCCTATAAATTCAGAGGGCTCCTCTATCCTTTATGTAGGAAAGGTACCCTGTGAAGGTGTGCATCCTGCAGTTAGGTGCTGGTCACAGAAGAAACCAAACTTGTTATTTGTTTTTGTTGATTTTTTTTTTCTCCCTCCCTAGTAAGAATGCAACCAGCTTGACTGCAGTCAAGCATTGTTAAAAAGGCAGTGTGAGATGCTGGGATGAAGTGGGTTGACTATCTTTCTTAGAAGAGTGACTCTTCACAGGTGCTTCAGGTGCTTCTTCCCTTCTTCAGAGTGCTGCTGTCTTTGTGAGGGACACAGGGGCTTTGACAGTGGCCCTGGCATCTTAGCTTGGGGCTGTGACCCATGGAGGAAGATTGAGGGGAGTCAGGCAAGGGCTAGGCAGTATTTGTTGCACTCTTGCTGGGTTGGCAGAACTTGGGGCTTTAAAAGCTGCACTCTGGGTATCCAGCTGGGCCTGGGTGAGTATTACTGCTCCCCAGGGGCTGATGGAGATGTCCCTGCACACGTTTCCCAGCAATCCCCAGCTTCTCTCCAGGGATTAGAGATTTTTCTGATGCCATTGGCTCTGCTAGACTGGTGGGTATTGGGCTCAATAGGCTCTGAAAAACATCTCAGAGTACCTCAATCATTCCTCAGTATATCTTTGAAGGTAGAAGATGTAATTCTGACACTATAAAAAAATAGAGAAGGAAATATAAAAGTATGAGCTAGATACTCCCATTTGATGTTTTTGCTCACTTTACTGCATTTAATCTCATTACTTTTATGGTGAGACCAAACCTTCCTGGTGTTGATAGTCCGAAATAGAAACCCACAATTTTTAATACATGCTTTTAGATGAAACCACAAGATATTGTGAAAACAGACAGTGCAGTGTGTCATTAAAGTGAGTTATTTAAGTATAAATATTCTATTTTCT